ACTGGATAATTTTGTAAATTGCGTTGATCAAATAAAACCGACGTCGAAGACGTCGAATTGGAAGAAATTTCACCCCGCCTAGTTGACAAACATTTTCTTTTAAAAGCGCTACCAGAATGTCATAATAGTCGGCGATGTAGAGTCGTATCCAAGCAACTGACCAACTTGTACGTAAAACAAGAGAGATCGCGATAGTCGAGTGCCTCGACAATAAGATAGCCGTTACTCAGCTAAAGTAAACGAAAGGAAGATGGAACAAGACGACTTTTACGGAGATCGCAGAACGCGACCTAGCGTCGATTACAATATTTGGTTATAACTTCTAAATGGATCGTCCGACTGGATCAATTTGTAGAGACGTAGATAGATATTGATAAACAAAACCTAATCCCATTTAGACTTTTGAAAAATGTGTGCGCCAGACAGATTTTAGCGTTAAGGACGTTTTTGGGAATTAGAGTGGGTGTGACATACCTTTTTTGGTTAATTAGTATTCTAGCATTTAAGCTGTAGACGTAACAGTTTTGTGCAATTTGTAGGCGTAAGTTTGGACATGTCACCGTGCTGAAATACACTTATAGAAATATAAATCTGCATGCCTAATCCCAAAACACAGGTCTTTAAAGTTTCAGAGATCGAGCGTTCATACGGACGGACTGACAGACGGAAAATTATAGTTCGACTGTGCTAGTGATCCTGACATTTATCCTAATTGAGTAGACAACGCTTCCTTCCATTTGAAACAAACTTTCCGGCGAAAAAAAGAAACCAGAAAGCAAACCACTGAACCTTGCACCCGAGCAGAGAGCACCCTCACCGGACAAGGACGAAGAGGTCGATCGGTAACTGTGCGGACCTTGGACCAGCGCTATTGAATTATTATTTTTTTGTCAAAAATTATTATGTTTAGACCAGTATTGGAGTCAGAGAATGGTTGGTCGAGCACTATCTGCCTGACTACCTAAGTGGGTGCAAACAGGTTTAGAGATGCCTGAGGATCTTAGATTTAACAGAGCTTTCTTCATGACCAGAATTTACTTTTGATTTTTATTTCAAAAGACTTGTTTAGGATTTTTATTTAAAACAAGGAAGAACGCTGTAGTCGAGTACCTCGACTATCAGATACCCGTTACTCAGCTAAATAGAGATATGCAAGCAGCAAAGCGAGATTAAAATGCGCCACCTACCGGCGGTATACAGATTTAAGCGTTATGGGCGTTAGAGTGGGCGTGGCAAAATTATTTTTGGATCAATCGATAGGTATTGACGACACCAATACATTTCAGTTAATACATTTCAGTTTTTTATCTAGCATAAAAATTGTGGGCGTCACAGGTTTTCGCGGTTTATGGGCGTTAGGGTGGGCGTGGCAAACTTTTTTTTGGGTCAATCGATAGGCATTGTATTTATTCTAGCATCAAAACTGTAGGAGCCACAGTTTTGGGCGGTTTGTGGGCGTTAGAGTGGGCGTGGAACTCTACTGAAACAAACTTGCGCTGCGTAAGAAGCTCAGGAATCTGCACGCCAAATCTCAATAGCCTAGCTCCCATAGTTTCCGAGATCTCAGCGTTCATCCGGACGGACAGACAGACGGACAGACGGACAGACGGACATGGCTAGATCGACTCGGCTAGTGATCCTGATCAAGAATATATATACTTTGTGGGGTCGGAAACGCTTCCTTCTGCCTGTTACATACTTTCCGACGAATCTAGTATACCCTTTTACTCTACGAGTAACGGGTATAAAAATGGAAGGAAACCCACAAAAACGCCTGCAGGATGTCAGTGCAGACGAAAAAAGAGGCCTATTCCAAGCTGTGGCCCATTATTGTGGGACGTCACCGACAGGAAGTAATACCACGACAGGGCAAATCCGCAGAATAGTTGAAGTGCTGGAGGAGACCCACTAGAGAATTTCAGTGGGAAAGAACATGCTGAGTGGGACTTCGCTCCCTATATGGACATCCTGCCGGGCGTGTCCTCGCAAAGAATGTAAGTTCTGGCGAAAACAATTTGATAACAATGTATTGATAGAAGTATATTTTTAGCAGAACAACCAGTAATACGATCTCCGACGAGCTCTCCATTGGGGAACCACAGGACTCCACCACCACCAGCTGCTTGAAAGCTTAAGCTGCAGGACGCTCTGGCTTCTATAGGGTGGAGGAAAAGAGAACGCCCGCTAAGGGACAGCTGAAGAGAATTCATTAACCAGCCGTTGCCAGGATGCTGGGCGACTTCCTGCAGCATCAGCGGAACGACCCCGTTTCCAACCCGGCTCCCACTCCCTCAAGGCCTATGTTGCCATATGGCGCGGAGTGACAAGAGAAGGAAGCCTTAAACTACTAATTAACATAAATAAAAACATCCTTTGAACATTCCATTTATTTTTATTTCTTTTTGTACCAGCAGATTCGTCTTTTTTAAGTCCTTTAATTTTTCGTTTGTTAATAAAACAAACCAAGATGCTTGACAGTAAGAAATTCCACATGCATTGCGGGTGAATTTTGAATACTGCGGTCACACTACAAAGAATAATATTTTTAGACAAGTGAGACTCTTAGCCGATCTGGGTATTAGGCTTAAGCCTAGTACTCACATCGACGAAAACCGAGAGCTAACCATACGAGTGAGCGAGAGGCAAACAGGCGGCTAATGCTTTTTGTCGGGTCTGTTTTTCAGCGCGGTACTCAGATAAGCTAAGGAAATACCAGAAAAAAACCTGATATCGCGAGCGAATTTTCGATGAACGCCGTTAGCCGCGGCCCAAAGAATAGGAAATTTAATCTTTGGCGGTGTTCGTGCAGAAGCGGTGGGGAATTTAAAAATTTAAAATGGAAGAAAAACACAAAAACGGCTAAAGGTGGTCAGTGCAGATGAAAAAGGACGCCTAGTCCAAGCTGTTGCCCATTATTGTGGGACTTAACCGACAGGAAGCTGTACCACAACGGGGCAAATCCGCAGAATAGTTAATGCGCTGGAGGAGATCCACCAGAGAATCCCAGTGGGAAGGAACGTGGGACATCGCTCGATCTCCGACGACGTCTCCATTGAGGATTCCACCCCCACCAGCTACTTGCTACAAAGCAAAGATGGAGGAGGCGCCGGCTTCTATAGGGAGGAGAAAATAAGGTCGCCCGCTAAGGGACAGCTGGAGGAGCCATCACCAGCCATTATTGGCCAGCCTATTGGGACTCGGAGTTGAATTACAGATGGCGCGGGAAAAATGGCGAAGCATCCGTGGGACGAGAGAGAGGCCTTAAACTTCTAATTTACATAAATAACAACATTCGTTGAACATTTCAGTTATTTTTATTTTATTGTCTTTGTGCACCAGCAGACTCTTTTTTTTGAAATTGCTCCAATTCATTTGTTTTCCGTTTGGCACAAGCACAGCTGCTTGACAGTAAGACCATGCCACATGCATTTCGGGTGAACTTTGAAAACTGCGGCTACACTAGATAGAATAATTTTTCGACTAGTGAAATTCTTAGCCGATCTGAGTGAGTACTCATTCACGAAATCTGGTATTTTTTCTGGTATTTCCTTAGCTCATATGAGTACCGGACTAAAAACAGACTCGAAGAAAAGCGTTAACTCGCGGTCTTCGTCGATGGGACAGCTGGAGGGACAGCTGGATGAGCCATAACAGCCATTGTTAGGATGCTGGGCGATTTCCTGCAGGATAAGCGGAAAACCCCCGTTCCCAATCCGGCTTCCACTTCCTCAATATGCCTATTGGGACTATTAGCTGGACCGCAGATGGCACGGGAGAGATGACGAAGAATCTGTGGGACGAGATGGAAGCTTTAATCTACTAATTTACATAAATAAAAACTTTCGTTGAGCACTCCACTTATATTAATTTTAGTTTCTTTGTGCACCAGCAGATACTTAATTTTAAATTGCTCCGTTTTCCGCTTGGCAATAAACCCAGTTGCTTGTCAGTAAGACCATGCTACATGGATTGCGGGTAAACTTCCAAAACTACGGTCACACTACAAGTAATAATATTTTTCGACTACTGAAAAGCTTATTACTGAATTTCTTCGAACTCCGTTGGAAACGGTTGGAGTTTTTGACAAATGTGAAACTCCGATTCCCACAGGGCACATCCAATCGAGTAGCCAAGTTTGTTCTGTTGGACGCTCATAATACATAACGACGTTAAGAAAGTAAAACATTTTACCTAAAAACCATGCAATTCAAATGCCTTTTAAATTGGTCCTGGTGTAAGATTTTGACAGCCAATTTATAAACAAATGTTTTTTAATTAAAGTTGAGTTTGTAAAAACGATATCGGTTGCCACCGCATCAGTAGAATTGCGCACAGCATTCGTGGACACGTGTAAATTTAAGTGGCCTGAACAGTTGTAAGGAATTTATGCTAATTCATATCGATATTATCGATACACGCCAGCAGCCATGTATCATGTATCACGAATAGGTAGCGTACTATTTTTTCGCTCCATTTTTTTACTGATCATGATGCAAGGATTTTTGCATCAAGATTAGTAAGCAGAACTATCGAAAGAATTCAATCCCTGATCAGGTATCAGGTTATTTTAGTGAACACGGCCAATAACTTCATAAGGCCTAGTACTCAGATAGGCTAAAAGTTTCACTAGTCGAAAAATCAAATTTTTTGTAGTGGGACCGAAGTTTTCCAAGTTGACCCGTAATGCATGTGGCATGGTCTTACTGTCAAGCAGCTGGGTTTGTTTTGTTGACGATTTAAAAAAGACAAATCTACTGGTGCACAACGAAATGAATACAAATGGAAAGTTCAACGTGTCCAACGTTTACAAATTCAATAGGCCTTAAAAATATGGCCGCTCGCTCTCTTTTATGGTTAGCACACGGTTTTCGTCGATGTGAGTACTGTGCCTTAACTAAAATCGTCATAGGGTGGAAATAGTGAAAACGAGGTTTTACTCTGTGTAAATGTGACGTACGGCAAAATCGAATTAAATTAATCGGAAACATCATCACCGTTTCTTATGTTATCGAATTACAAGAGTATCTTATTGAGCATAAGTAATAAGTAATGTAAAACTTGTATTTACTAAAAGGATGGGGGCAACCATGGTAAAACCTTTGGTTAAAAACGGAAATCTGTTGGACGCATTGCCTTCGCAGGTAAGTAAGCTAGTATTTCCAAACTAAAAGATAATAAAGATTGTTTTTAATTTAAGGCAACCCTCCATGTAGTAATGTTAGGCCTGGATTCTGCGGGGAAAACTACTGCATTATACAGACTTAAGTTCGATCAGTATTTAAATACTGTGCCGACTATTGGATTTAATTGTGAAAAAGTTTGCGACTACAAAACCATTGGCTAAACTGAAATATTAGACAATCTTATTTTATTTAGGTACAAGGTACTATTGGTAAGGCAAAAGGAGTTCACTTTCTAGTTTGGGACGTAGGAGGTCAAGAAAAATTACGACCTCTTTGGAGGAGCTATACACGGTATTATATATAATTTATTCAAAATAATGTTACATATGTATCTTTAAATTGCTTTTAGCTGCACCGATGGCATTTTGTTCGTTATAGATTCGGTCGATACAGAACGAATGGAAGAAGCAAAAATGGAGTTAATGCGTACCGCTAAATGTCCTGATAATCAGGTAAGTAACTTTAACATACACTTGTCAGAAAAAGTATGCGTACAAAAATTTCTGGAAACTTTAGAGTTATTAATAATAATAATTATAATATTTAAAATTTCATTTTAATTTATACAGATAGTACCTTTTTTCACCTTTCCTTTGATGAAACTCTTAATTTTCTAACACTTATATTTTTCCTTATATAAATTAAAATTTACAAAATGGTCTGATTTCGCATCAGAAAAAGTATGCGTATAAAATCAAAAATCATAAGAAAACTCCATGTTTTTGTCAAAAGGACTGGAATTCAATATGAGGTCGGATACCCCTTTCGTTTTAGGACTTCAGCCAACCGATTTGGCATTGACTGGACCAATTTTGTTGTGTCCTCCACCGATATTTTATTCCATTCCTCGACCATCACTTGTTTTAGGATGTTCTTTGATGTAATGGTGTGCTGGCGGATCCTGCGCTCCAGGAGGTCCCACAAATGCTCAATTGGATTGAGACCTGGGGACTGCGGTGGCGAATTTAACTGATTCTTTACATTATAAAGCAACCAAAGTTTCGTATTCATGGCACAATGCTTCGGGTCGTTGTCCTGTTGGAACCAAAAGTCATCCTCCAGTCCCAGTTTCGCGGCGCTTTGATGTAAATTTTCTTTTAGGATGTTGATATACATCTTGTGATCCATTGTGGATTCAATGAAAGCAAGATTTCCAACTCCACTGGCCGCCATACATCCCCAAACCATAACGCCACCACCACCGTGCTTAACGGTCGGGACAAGGTTTTGGATTTCGAGGGCTGTACCTGTTTTTCTCCACACCGTCGTACGACCATTTATCCCGAATATGCAAAACTTGCTTTCGTCACTAAAAATCACTTTTTTCCAGAACTCCTGGGGCTTGTTATTGAATTTTCTGGAGAATTCCATTCGTTTGATTTTGTTGACTTGTGATATGAGTGGTTTCTTCCGGGCAGTACGGCTGTTATAGTCTTCCTTCTTCAAAATTTTACATACAGTGTCGTTATGAAGATCCTTATTATACTTCTCCTTAATATCCTTTGCAATTTGGGAGGCTGTTGTCCTTGGATTTATTTTAACAGTCTTCAAAACGCTTCTCTTCTCACGCTCAGTGAGCTTTGGTGGTCTACCAGAGCGGGGTTTTGACTCACAGGAACCCGATACATTGAAATTTTCAAGGACTCTTTGTACAGAGGAGTGTGTTCTGCCAACTATCCCACCAATTTCCCGAAAAGTTTTCCCTTCATCACGTAGTTTTACTATGACTTTCCTCAAATCATGGCTAATTTCTTTTGTCTTTTTCCCCATCATAAAAATAACGTCTGGTTACAACACGAATATGCCAGAAATGATTAGAAACAAGTAAACAAACCTTGAATTACAGTTATCAATGCCAAAACCGCAATTTAAAAGCTTTTAATACCGTTATTTTTGCATTCTTTTCCTTTGTACGCATACTTTTTCTGATGCGAAATCGGGCCATTCTGTACATTTAAATTTATATAAGAAAAAGTATAAGTCTTTAAAATTTAAGAGTTTCATTAAACGGAAGGTGAATAAAGATAATATCTGTAAAAATTAAAATACAATTTACGCACTTGTAAACTTAAAGTTGCCGACGCATTTAATAAAAATCGCTTATTTGTTGCCGATTAACACCGAAAGAATGAGCGAATTCAAGCCTTTTTCTCATTCCCTTACCCGCTTTTTTTCGGAAACACCGAATTCCGATTTAATGCAAAAAAACACCAGATTTTAAACGCACCTTTTAAAATTCTACCCTAAATGCAAGTGCATAATCCGGCCAGGATGACCGTTAGGAAATAGAAAGAAATGGTTAGATAAAACTCCAAAAAAAATTATAGTGACTATACATTCCAATAAATCGTCAAGCAAGAAAATCCGGCCAGGATCACCGTTAGGAAATAGAAAGAAATGGTTAGATAAAACTCCAAGAAAATTATAGTGACTTGTACTTGCTTGATAATAACCTAACTAGTCTAGTATCAATCTAAATTCCTCAAATCGTTTCGGGATCAATAATACATAAGTTTTGGGGATCAGATTCTCGAAAACTTGGGCCATGACTTGTTTATTAGACTCCAAGTCATTATAACCAATAGGCGCAAGGGTGCATTTTTAAAGGCGTGGTGCTATTGTTTTTTCTTTTGTCAATTATGATATTTTCTGTAAATTTTACAGGTATTATAATTTATTAAACTTTGTTGTTCAACTTCAAAGGTGTACAATTGCTGTACGACTTTCCAATAAACAATTTTTTTGTACTCTCTCTTTGGTGAAACAATAATGAAGTAGTCAGAAGAGCTAACTGTTGAACATGCTACATAAATCTGACTGTTAAAGTAAAAAAATATAGTCCAGCTGGCTTTAAGGTCTAACCTGGTGACTTAAAGCATTAAAGAAAACGATTCGAAATGTAATCGCATCTGTCTTATTGTGCAATCCTTTAAATTTTTGCGATATCGTCTGTGCGTATGTTCGTGTGAACGCTGTGATCTCGAGAACTATAAGAGCTAGAGGGTTTAGATTTCAGATCTAGATTGCTTATCTTCGTAAGCAGCGCAAGTATATTACGTGAACATGCTACGCCCCTCTGACGCCCATAAACCGGCCAAAACTGTGGCTCCTACAGTTTTCATGATAGAAAAAAATGTTAACTGAAATTAATTGTTACCGTCAATACCTCGAAGGACTTAAAAAAATGTTCCCACGCCCACTCTAACGCCCACAAACTTCAAATTATCGTAAATTTAAACGCTGATAACTCGGAAACTTTCGAGGGCTGTACCTGTTTTTCTCCACACCGTCGTACGACCATTTATCCCGAATATGCAAAACTTGCTTTCGTCACTAAAAATCACTTTTTTCCAGAACTCCTGGGGCTTGTTATTGAATTTTCTGGAGAATTCCATTCGTTTGATTTTGTTGACTTGTGATATGAGTGGTTTCTTCCGGGCAGTACGGCTGTTATAGTCTTCCTTCTTCAAAATTTTACATACAGTGTCGTTATGAAGATCCTTATTATACTTCTCCTTAATATCCTTTGCAATTTGGGAGGCTGTTGTCCTTGGATTTATTTTAACAGTCTTCAAAACGCTTCTCTTCTCACGCTCAGTGAGCTTTGGTGGTCTACCAGAGCGGGGTTTTGACTCACAGGAACCCGATACATTGAAATTTTCAAGGACTCTTTGTACAGAGGAGTGTGTTCTGCCAACTATCCCACCAATTTCCCGAAAAGTTTTCCCTTCATCACGTAGTTTTACTATGACTTTCCTCAAATCATGGCTAATTTCTTTTGTCTTTTTCCCCATCATAAAAATAACGTCTGGTTACAACACGAATATGCCAGAAATGATTAGAAACAAGTAAACAAACCTTGAATTACAGTTATCAATGCCAAAACCGCAATTTAAAAGCTTTTAATACCGTTATTTTTGCATTCTTTTCCTTTGTACGCATACTTTTTCTGATGCGAAATCGGGCCATTCTGTACATTTAAATTTATATAAGAAAAAGTATAAGTCTTTAAAATTTAAGAGTTTCATTAAACGGAAGGTGAATAAAGATAATATCTGTAAAAATTAAAATACAATTTTTAAGATTTTTTAACATGTTTTTTTTTTAACTCTAAAGTTTCCAGAAATGTTTGTACGCATACTTTTTCTGACAAGTGTATGTATGTGCATTGCCAAATTTAACTGTTTGCACACTCACATCTTAAACTTTAAGTCGAAATTTTATTTGCATAATGGAAATATTTAACGCACAGAAACATTTTATTTCACTGATGTATCCTTTAAAACTAATTTGTTAAGGTTAAAAATCAAAATATCTGATTTGGGCCGTTTGTTAACTATTTAGGTAAAACATAACCTATTTAGCTGTTTTTTTTTGCTAAATCCGCTTTTGGGTCTATGTTGTAAATGGTATAATTAAAAGTTTGTATCATAAAATAAGTTTAGTGCCTTAAGTTAACCAAAAATCGTTAAATTTAGAAAAAAAAAAATACCCTTATCTCTGCGAAAAATAATATTTATTTTGCAGGATCAGGGGCTATTGTATACTTACGTTTGGGAATGGGTGCCCGAAAGCCGTTTCTACCGATCCTAGCTTTCTAAGGCGTTCTAAAGGACTCTCTCCATGCAAAAATGCAAGGCACATAGGGAAATACAAAGCTTTAAGCGGCCAGGGAGGCAAAAGGATCACATAAGAGGATAATGACAACCCTCAAATCAACTCAGTACAGATTCTAAGGAAGCTTACTGGGTGAATATCCTTGCCAAAGTCTTCCCTATTCTAATCTTACTTACTTACTTACTTTCTGTACTTAGTTGATCTGAGGGTTGTCACTATACTTTTATGTGATCCTTTCGCCTCCCGCCACTTGTAGCTTTATAAGGTCAAAATCAGCGCAATTTTTGTTTTTTAATTTGAAAAAAATTTGTTTTTTTTTAGTTTAAGTCTGCCAACAGTAAAGATCGGCACTGTACATATGTAGCAAAATATTTACATATTAAACGGTGAACCCGCTGATTTTTATTGAGTATATATAACTACATCCATACGATATATATTTGAAGAAGGTTAGGTGTAGATATGATAACCCAGCAGGAAACTGATGAATGACGTACTACATAAATGATAGGCGATGGTCGAGTGGTCAGACTGTTTAACTTCTACATACACTAGACGGCATAAACACCTTCAAGTTTCAGAAATCACTTTTTACTCGTAAATCACGTGGTGATTTGACCTGTGACAGGACATTGTCACGCGTGACACTCCATATAGACATTTGATTAGGATGTCGGCTTTTTCACATATAATTTTATTATAAAATAAAATATATATTTTACTTATAAATTGTTATCTTATATGTTTTGAATGTTTTGGATCGCTTTGCAAAAACATTTGTCAGGATCGTTCGGGCTCGATTAAAAATACTAAAAATACATATTAGTTTTAAATG